CGGCCGCAGCCTGCACGCGGCTGCTGTCCTCCTGCTGGTGATCTTAAAGCAACAGCCTTCCAGCCCAGCCCCACTCAACGGTAAAGTTTCTGCCTCTTCTAACAGTGCCGAGCGCTCGGCGGCACCAGGATAGGATTCCCCACAGAGCTCTTTAATGATAAAGTAAAATCATTCGTGCGGAGCAGGGAAGGACGTGCATGGTCTCAAAGAGCACGTTTTTACAAAGGATGCTTCGTTTTTCCTTCGGAATGCAGGCTCTGCTGCGGTTGAGGGGGAGCTCGGTTGTCTCGGCGTTAAAATATGTGCGTTGAAATATGGAGAAGTGGCTTGGGAATTTGCTGCCTGGGGAGGAGAAACAGAACCTGATCCACGTGCAGATGGTGGAGAAGACACTGGGGCGTTCTGAGCAGTGTCATTACGCGGGAGGGTTTGCAGTGGCCCCAGGGCAGAACCCTCTACCATGGTGGGTGCTTTTCCTTGGAGGAGAGACTCTTTGCCCCTAGGTTTTACCTCCAAGTCAAAGGGATGATGCATCCCGTCCTTAATCATTGTTTTTCGCCAGAAGGGCTCTACTATTCTGAATGTACACGTGTGTGTGTACGTGCCCCCAGACAAGCATACACACCTTATTTTTGAGTGTAATGAGGGCTTTTAATCCCGAAGGGCTGGAGGCTGGTGGTGCCGAGCAGTGGCAGGAGGAGGCGGGGGGCCTGAACTGAGGCTGAGGTCTGGGCAGTGAGTTGCGATGAGCAGCCAAGATCAGGGTTTTTGCCTGCCCCCCCCCCCCACCAGCTGGGTGAGCGCTTTTGGAAACTTCTTGAGTAACGGATGGTGGTGACTCCTGTCCTTGTCAGAGTTTGCCCCAAGTTGTAAGATATTTGTAGATGCAACCATTCCTGGACCCAGGCTAGGACAAAACATTTATAGAAGGGCCCAAAGCGACTAGAATGGCTGAAAATCAACCCCCTCTGGCTAGGCAGTGGTGGTGGTGGTGGTGGGAAGTTGGTCCTGCTCAGCAGCTCAGAGACCCCCTCCTCTCGGAGGTCACCGAGACCGCGGGCAGGAGGACCCGGGCAGTCAGCAACTTTGTCTTTCCTCTTAATCCATTTCGAATCCACTAGCTGGCGTGATATGCTTGCTAGCATCTCCCTCATCTGGTCGGGGAGAAATAGAAGGTAGTGGGGAGAAAGGAGTTGTATAAAAGTGGAAAATAATTTTTAAGACTGCAGACTTTGACATGTATCTCCCTCTCAAGAAAGCTGCACTGAGACCTGAGGTTTCACCAGAAATCTCCCTTTTAGCTCCAGAGCAGCTCCGAGACAAACACTGGCCCCCTTCCCTGGAAGCCTGTCCTCCCCTCGCTCTGGGGGCAGCTCCTCTTCCCTCCTCTCGCTTCCCCAGCCCTCTGTGCCCTCCCTCCCCTCCCGTGCTCCCAGCTGGGCTGGGGGAACTTCGCAGTGAAAACTCCATCGCCCCACACTGGGCGGCCAGTCTGCTTACCCCCTTGATTCTGAGAACGCAGCTTTTATTCTGTTATCCTCCGGTAGGTTTCTTGGCTTTTCAATTACCTGGGGGACAAGGTCAAAGCAAAAATCACTGAGGTGTAGAGTCGATTGTCAGCATTAACCCAAGGTAGGGGGCGCAGGGGGGTTTGGCTGCACCAAGAGGAGGAGAGCGTGGTCTGCCCTCTGCCTGGACACGGAAACTTCCGGCAGTTGGCACTGGTGAACGTGGGGGTCAGGGAGGGAGGGGGCTCAGGAAGGTGAAGTCAAGCATCTTCCAGAGACAACCTTGGAATTCTTACTGCTGGGGACGGGCGGGGGGGCATTTTGATGAATTCTGCTGTGCTTGCTCTGCATGAACCCAGTGTGGAGAGCTGTGCGATCTTGGGCTGCCCCGGATGTCAGTTACTCAGGGAAGGTTCTAGAACCTAGGACAGGAAGCAAGCTGGGCGTTGAACGTTGCAAATATCATTTCCTCTGCGAGCACCCAGGGCGTTCTCCTGGCCCAGTATAAGCTGGGTCTGCAGGTCCTAACAGGCGTCCAGCTGGGCCTCCCAGGGTGACCTTCTTGGAAAGAGAGCAGTTGCCACGTGAGGCTGCTGAGGTGCAGCCGCAGGGGCCTTGGCCTGGCCTGCCTGTGGGGTGAAGACTCTTCTCCTAAAGGTAGGGGTGGGGAGGGGCCGTTTCCAGATAAAGCAAACACACACCCCCTCCACGTCCTTTATGAAGCCTTCCTGACTTCAGTTCTGAGCGGACAGTAAACCAGGCTGGGCCCTGACTGTCATCCAACGAGACCCCCTGACTCAGACTACCCTCCCTTCATTTTACAGTGCTTCCCCCCACCCCCAGCCTCTAGCTTCTGCGCCCCTCCAGACACTGCCATTTCCACCCAAAGCATCAAGTCCTGAGGGCCAAGCAGGCTCATGCAGAGAAAGGAGGGCGGGAGAGACCGCTCTGACCCTGCTGCTCTTCAGGAGCAAGTCCCCAGGCCTGTGTCACGCGCCGAGGCCTTACAACCCCAGATGCCCACACTGTTACTTTGGTCCCTGAGCTCTCGAGTGTCATGCTGATACCTTATCTGAGGAGGAGAGCTACGGCAATGGGGAAAGCTGAGCTTCCCAAGCCTTGGGGAAGATCGCAAAAGATGCAGGATATTAAGGCTATGTTTGATTTTGCCTCAGGTGCAAATAAAATTCTGGCCGAGGCAGGACTGCTCAGAGGCAACGGGTGTTTTTTCTGGTGGCCTCCAGGAACACCTGTGTCTCTCTAGGGACGTAATGGGGACGAACTTCCCTGTTACTGATGGAATCTTACATCCTGGACCCCCAAGTGCTCTGCCAGGCTAAGTGACAATAATCCGGCTTCCTCTGCCTCTGGAATCTGTAACTGTGTTTTAATAGAACCCTTCAAACAAAACGCTGAAGGAAAATGTTCAGGAGAGAGGACTGAGGTCTTCTGTAGCGTGGTTCAAAGGCAATGCCTTTTTGTCCCTTTTCACTACTGTCTCAGTAAAAGGCTAGTCGTAAACTTGGCGGTCACGTACAGATTTGGTTTCTCCATGATTCTGAATGTCTTCATCCAATCAATAATCCGAGGAAGGTTAATTTTGGGATTGTCAATCCCTGTCGGGTCCATAGCTGGTTTCAGGGCCCTGTGGGTCCTGGGTACTTTCACTGTAACCATCTTGCCACAAGCATTTTTGCTGAACAACCAATTGGCCCATAAGGCAATTTTACAGTAGAAAATAAAATAATGAAAAGTAAATAAAGGACATCAAAAAAGGACACATTGAAACGTAAGAAGTAAATAACAAAATTATTTCAGTAGGGGAGGGTATAGCTCGGTGGCAGAGTGCATGCTTAGCACGCACAAGGTCCTGGGTTCAATCCCCAGTACCTCCATTAAAAAATAAAAATAAAAACAGATAAACAACCTTTAAAAAATAACAAAATTTGAAAAGCCATTGGGAAATACAAAATATTTGAATACATTTAAAATATGTGTAGATTCACAGCAATGACTCATTTTATCGTGTGGGTTGTACCTCAGCGTTGGTCTTCCAAGTCTTTTGTTCATAGTATTTTATACTTTTTTTTCTTTTTTGCCTTGTGGATTCATCTCCTGGTTTGGCATCACACTTTTTCTTTGTTGCTAACATTTCTTCCTTCATTAAAAGAGGTTTCAGTTTCCAAATGCTAGCGTGCATGTTTGTACCTGAGCTTTGTGTTGCGCTGCGAAAGCTTCTGTATTGTCGTGTGTTCTTGGCATATCTGTCCCATGTCTGTTGATAGATGTTCCAGGGTTCTGTGGGAAATGTTGGCTCAACTCTGCACCTTCGAGGCCCTTTGTCTCTTTCTCCTCCAAGGTGGCGTGCTTCAGAGTAAGCAACCAACTCTTGGGGTAAATCATCGTCATCTGTCAGCTGGGTAAAGCCATCAATAATGTCACGAATTGGAAGAAATGCTAATGCATTTCAAGGAGTGAAAATCAGATTGTCCAACCAAAAACTGTCAGCCAGTTACTCAGTCTTTCATGGCGGAACTGTCTTACTACCAATTAATTATGCAACAAAAAGGTTTGTTGCAAAAATGCTTGTGACAAAGATGTTTATGACAAAGAAGCTTATGGTTTAAAAAAAACAAACCTGACACAGTTCTATGACATTAAGTGTTCATGAAATTTTGTGTGTTCAAGCTTGTGGGCATTTTTACGGGGAAAAGGTCCACAGAACTTAATCAGATACTCTAAGGGTCTGGACTCCCCCCTCTATCCCAAAGATCGAGAAGGAGACTCAAAGATTTTCTGAGTTTGTGAGAAGTGATGGGAAATGTGGAGAGACACTTCTTTGCAGGACTGATCTTCCACGTCACCTCGTGGACTTTCATTTCATCATCTATAAAACAAGATGATGGGCTGCAGGTGTGTGGAAGAGCTCTCCATCCTTGCCTTCCAGAGGGGGATGGCAATAAATAATGCCTAAGCCAAAGCAAATCATGAAGAAGTAAGATGGGCATGTTTTCTAGAGATGGGGAGATAATGCGAAAAGAATCGTTTTAAAAGAATTCAAAGTGGTTGCCATATGGAGCAGGAAAATGGCCAGTGAGGGTCAGGGACTGATATTTTGATTTAAAAAAAAAAGCCTTATGGAACCATCTGACCCTTTAAACCATGCACAAGCATAATTTGAAAAAAAAATTACCAATCGAATTTGAACATTAAAAACAAAATTCAAAATACTGAGGCAAAGAAATGAAACAGAACAACAACAAAAAATATGAGATTAAACCAGCTTAAAAAGAAGAAACAAGCAAAACCCTCTTTTACCTTTGAAAAACCACCATTTGCGCAGGTAGGAAGTGCCCAGCTGTGATAAGGGACCAGACTGCTGGTCAGGCACGTTTCACCGCCAATCAATTCCCGAGAGAGAGGAGATGGGAGCTGTACCCTGGGGGGCCAAGATCCTGGCAGCACTGGGAGAAGCTGGGAGAGAGGGACATAGGAGTTGAGCAGTCTCCTTGTTGTGATGTGTCCCCTGAGTCTCAGTTCGGGGTCTCAGGCTCCTTCTGGAGGTGAAGAAGGAGGTGTGCAGACCGGGGAACGAGAGCACGGTCCTGCGATGACTTATCTGCACCAAGGACTTTGATGTGTGAAGGGTGTGGAGTGAGAGGAGACCTCCTTATACTCCTGGCCGAAACCCTCCTCCACATGCCACCGCCCCTGGAATTCTCACTCAGATGAGGGGGACAAGCTTCCTCAAAGAAAATCTTTCTTTGTGAGATTAGTTTTCTCCTCCTTGTGTTCTGACAAGAACAATTCTCCAGGCTGTGTTAAGAGGGAAAAAGCAAGACGCAGAACAAGTTTTCCTGTAGGCTAGCATTTGTGTGAAGAAAGGGTTGGGGGACAGAATACAAATAGGTGTCTGCAGTCCTACCGGGGAAGGTTCACATCTGCTGCTGAAACTGGCAGGCTCTAATGGAAGCAGGGAGGTTGGGTGATGGGAAGAGCTTTCACTGTATACCTTTTGGTGGCTTTTGGGTTTTGAGCCTTGTGAATTTATTACCTATTCAGATAATAAAATTTGGCTTCTCTAAGATGTCGGGGAGGCTTCTGATCAAGAAGCTCCCTCCCAAAACTCTAATTCAAAAAGACACACGCACCCCAATGTTCATAGCAGCTATTTACAATAACCAAGACATGGAAACAAACTAAGTGTCCATCAACAGATGACTGGATAAAGAAGCTGTGGTATATTTATACAGTGGAATACTACTCAGCCATAACAAAGAATGAAATAATGCCATTTGGAGGAAAAAAAAGACACGAATGAGCTTACTTATAAAATAGAGACAGACTCACAGATGTAGAAAACAAACTTATTGCTAATGGGAGGAGAAGAACTTGGGGAGGGATAAATTGGGAGTTTGGGATTTGCAGATACTAACTACGGTATATAAAACAAGGTCCTACTATACAGCACAGGGAACTATATTCAATACCTTCCAATGGCCTATAATGAAAAAGAATTTGAAAAGGAATATATATGTATAAATGAATCACTATGCTATATACCAGAGATTAACACAACATTGTAAGTCAACTATACTTCAATAGAAACAAAAAAAAAGAAGCCCCCTCCTTCACCCTGGGCGCGCACCCAAAATCACTGCCCTGTGCTTTGCCTCCCCTGGGAGCAAAAAGTCTGACCGGGACTCTGAAAAAAATTTTGTTGTTGTTGTTGGTAATAAGTGGTTTTTATTTTCTACTTTTCAGTCCTCTGTATTTCTTTTTTTTAATTGAAGTACTGTCAGTTACAATGTGTCAATTTCTGGTGTATAGCACCATGTCCCAGTCATGCACATACATACATGTATCTGTTTTCATATTTTTGAAAAAGCTTTTTAAATTAGTATTTTTATTTTTTCTTCCAGTTTTATTGAGATGTAATTGAGATACAGCACCATGTAAGTTTAAGGTGTACAGTCTAATGATTTAACTCACAAACATCATGAAATGCTCACCACAGTAAGTCTGCTGAATATCCCTCATCTCATATAGACACACAATGGAATAGAATTTTTTTCCTTGTGAGAAAATTCTTAGGATTTGCTCTTAATAACTTTCATATATAATGTACAGAAGTGTTAACTATATTTATCATGTTGTATATCACATCCCAATTTCTTATTTATCTTATAACTGAAAGGTTGTACCCTTTGACAGCTTTCATCCAGTTCCTCCTCCCCTCACCTCTGCCCCTGTTAACCACGATATATTTTCTTCTATGAGTTTGTTTTTGAAATATAATTGACCTACAACAGTATGTTAGTTCCTATTATACAACATAGTGATTTTTCTATACATTTAAAATATGTCACCATCTGAAGATATTACATAGTTATTGACTATATTCCCCACACTGTACATTTCATATTGATGACATTTATTTTACAACTGGAAGTTTGTATCTCAATCTCTTTCACCTATTTCTTTCCTCTCCCCACCCTCCTGTCCTCTGGCAACCACCTCCTTCATCTTTGTATCTATAACTCTGTTTCTGTTTTGTTATGTTTGTTCATTTGCTTTTTTTTTTAGATTCTACATATAAGTGAAGTCATACAATATTTGTCTTTCTCTGACTGCTTTCACTTAGCATAATACCCTCTAGGTCCATCCATGTTGTTGCAAATGGCAAGATTTCATTCTTTTTAATTGCCAAGTAATATTCCACGGTGTGTGTATGTATATATATCACATCTTTTTTTGTCCATTCATTTTTTGATGGGCACTTGGGTGGCTTCCATGTCTTGGCTATTGTGAATAATGCTTCAATGAACATAGGGGTGCATATATCTTTTCTAAACAGTGTTTTTTTTTCTTCTGATAAATAACAGGGGTGGAATTGCTGGATCATGCGGCAGTTCTGTTTTTAATTTTTTGAGGAACTGCTACACTGTTTTCCATAATGGCTGCACAAATTTACGTTTCCACCAATAGTACATGAGGGTTCCCTTTTCTCCACATTGAAAAAGTTTTAAGTTCTGGGCATCCACCTTTTTTACAGTCTCACTCATTTAAAAGTAAAATCTGTACTGTTTTCTCTAACTTGTTCCAGCTCAATTGTACTTACTTGCTTTGTTTTTTCTTTGCAGGATCCAAGTGGACCTATTTTGGTAAGTAGAGATCTTAAATGCTTTTTTTGAAGAGATGACTGTATTTAGCCAGAAATGTCTTGATCTGTGGCAATTACTTCGGGGGCAGAGAAGAGCAGTTCTGGTTTTGTTACAAGAGGGCACAAAATCCTCTCTAAAGAACCGCTCCGCACAGTCTGTGCGTACAGCTCTTTCTCCAAGCAGCTGAGCCTGATTTGCACCTTCGAACTGCAAGTCATAGAGTTAAGGCGCCCAGATTCCTGCAAACCTCTCAGGTGAGGATGCCCAGCTGACCTTCAGACTGCAAGGGCCCTGGGCAGAAGGGTGCTTTTCTCCTCTTGCAGCTCTTCTCCTACGATAAGCAAAGAATAAAAGCCCCCTTTCTGAAAGCTAGGCTCAGGCTCCAGAACTTACGCTGCCAGTGTGTCTAGAATTAACTTCTTGTTGTTATGTTTGTAAGCAAGCAGTGAGCCAAGGGGTGATGGTCAGTCCTCAGTGAGAGAGAAATGCTTGGCTTAAGTGGGGCAACAGGGACGTTGAGTGTGCAAAAGGGTTTCAAGACAAGTGGCTTGAAATTGGCTCAGCTGGTGGGTTGCAGTGAATGGGAAATCTGACCATCAGCTGGAGTGGGGGTGGGGGCCAAGCACCAGGGTCCACTGGTAAGTGCAGGAATGTTAATAATGTCTTGTTTAGGACTGAGTCACAAGGGGTGTGCAAGAGAGATCGTTGTCGTGAGCAGGAGGGTGGAAGGGGCCTCACTGGCACAGGATGGGTGGTGACGGGCCGGAAAGTTGATTACTACAGTGGAAGCAGAATCAAGAGAAAGATCTGACTTAGATTTGCTAGTTAGCCCTTGGATGTTTGTTCGCCCAAGAGGAATAGAAAACTCCCTGAACTAATCAACCAGCCACCTACAGCCCAAGATTTCCTTGTCTCCAGCATCTCACGCTCCATCACTGCTAACATCCCTTACATACTACTCTGTGCGAGGCACGTTGCTGAGTGGGTGGGTGATTAGAAGGGTAGGCTGTAGGAAAACATCATCTGACATACATCTCAAAAATGTTCTCCTAGGACAGTCTACCCAAGCAATAGAAATAAGAGCAAGAATAAAGAAGTGTAGGCTGTGGTCTATAGCTGGGAATGACGTAAAGATCTTAATTCAAAGCAGACTAGAACAGGTAATAATAACAGGTAACAAGTAAACGGTTCAGTGCTCTGCTGGTTCCAAGGAGGATGAGAGTGCTCGGGCTGGACGGTCAAGGAAGGCTTCCTGGAGGAGACGGGTTTTCACCTGGACCTTGGAGGATGGGGAGGATTCAGTATGGTGGGAAGCAAGTGCTACTGGCCAAGCTGATGATGGCATCACAATGAGTGGAGGCAAGAAAATGCAGGATGGCATTTGAGGGAAAAAAATGTAGAGAAGTTGTTACAGGGGAGGGATGACTCTAAGGTCAGAAAGATAAGTTGGGTCAAA